ACAAGACGCTTCCCCTTCACCTCCAGGTATCAGGAAATCATTCAGAGCTTCTTGAGTTTTTTGTGTTTCTTTCTCCCCAGTCCTCGGGCACTCCTGGCTTAAGCTTCACAATCCCCAATTGGACTGGAGCAGAAACCAGATCACTGGCTGGAGCCCCGCCTGCTCACAGAACTGCCTACCCTCCGTCTCTCCCGCTCCTCGCTGCCTCCCAGCGCCGTCGGAGGAGATTGACCTGTCTACAGTTCCACCAGCGTATCAGGATCTGAGGCAAGTGTTTAGTAAGACACAAGCTTCAGCTCTGCCTCCTCACCGGCCTTTTGATTGCTCCATAGACCTGTTGCCCAGGGCACCCTTACCTTCTAGCCGGCTTTACCACCTCTCGAAGCCTGAAAGGGACAGCATGGAGGTCTATATACAAGACGCCTTATCGGCCGGCACAATCCGTCCTTCTACGTCACTCCTGGGAGTAGGATTTTTCTTCGTGCCCAAGGACGAAACATTAAGACCCTGCATCGACTACAGAGATTTGAATCAGATTTCTGTAAAGAATAAATATCCTCTGCCCCTGCTGTCGTCGACCTTTGAACCCATTCAGGACTCTGATTTTTACCAGGTTAGATCACAGGAATGCGTACCATTTGGTACAAATACGTCAAGGAGACGAATGGAAGACAGCGTTTAAAACACCCTTGGGACATTTTGAATACTTAGTTATGCCTTTTGGACTGGCAAATGCACCCGCTGTTTTCCAGACTTTAGTTAATTCTGTGTTGGGAGATTACTTAAACAAGTTTGTCACCATCTATCTAGACGACATCCTGATTTTTTCCAGAACCAAGGCAGAGCATGTCCAGCATGTGAGAGCAGTTTTACAACGATTGCTGGAGAACCGACTGTACAGTACGTGAAGGCGGAGAAATGCGAATTCCATGTACCAACGGTGAGGCTCCTGGGATTGGTCATTGAGTGTGGAAAACTGAAAGCAGATCCTGAGAAGGTGCGTGCAGTACTGGAGTGGCCAACTCCCACGTCCAGAAAACAGCTACAGAGGTTCTAAGGCTTTGCCAACTTTTACAGAAGGTTCATCAGAAACTATAGCCAGACTTCTGCACCTCTTACTAAACTCACTTCTGTTAAACAAACATTTTCTTGGTCCCCAGAAGCCGCTTTCCTGGCTTTAAAGAGACGCTTTACGGAAGCCCCTGTGCTGCATGGGCCTGACACCCAGCAACAGTTCACCCTGGAAGTGGACGCCTCCGACACCGGGGTGGGTGCAGTCCTGTCTCAAGTCTCAGCATCAGACCACCGCTTGCATCCCTGTGTGTTCTTTTCACGCCGCCTCACGCCTGCAGAGAGCAGGTACGATGCTGGAGATAGGGAGTTACTTGTGGTCAAGCTGGCAATAGAGGAGTGGAGACACTGGCTGGAGGGAGCAGAAAAGCCGTTCATCATCTGGACGGACCACAAGAACCTTGTGTACCTGCGGGAGGCAAAATGACTGAATCTCAGGCAGTACCGGTGGTCCCTTTTCTTTTCTCGTTTTAATTTTGTGATTTCTTACCGACCTGGGCACAAGAACTCTAAGCCGGATGCCCTTTCCCGGCAATTTGCCCCCGACCTAGAAGCGGAGCCTACTACCATCCTTCCCCCGGAGTGCGTCGTTGGAGGAGTGACTTAGGAGATCAGGGACCAGGTGTTTCAAGCTCAACTGAACGACCCTGACCCTGGAAATGGACCTCCGGATAGACTGTTCGTGTCGCAGTTCATGCGCGGCAAGGTGATCCATTGGGGCCATAAGGGAAGGTTTGCTATTCATCCCGGAGTGGGACTGTTATGATCACCAGTTTCTACATGCTCCTGTTCCTGCTCCACTTCCCTACAGAGAGAAGCAGCCCCTCCTCCGCTCCTCCTCCTCCCTCCCGCCTTCCAGCTGTGCTCAATCCCTAATCAGCTTCTGAGCTTTTAAAAGGGCGCGGCCAGAAGAACCAGGGAGCAGAAAGAGTGGGGAATACCTTGAGAGTGGATGAAATCCAGACACACCTAGTTTTGAACCTAGTGTAATTTCATTGAGTTTGGTTTTACTCTGAGTTCTGTGGAACTATTGGAGATTGTGCTCAATAGAGGTAGGAAATTGGTTAGTTTGATCCTGGACGAGCCCCCATTAATGTTAAGACTGGTGATGGTATTGGTGAAGGACGTCGTGACATAAAAGGCACGGGGTCAGGATTTTAAAAGCAAATGATTTTATAACAAATAAATGACCAAATTCATGTACAGTTACAAGGTCAGTTAAATACAAGAACTAAAGGTGACCTCCTAAAGAGGGAAAAACAAGGACTTGAGGGAACACGCAAGCTGGAGCTCAGCTCCACTTATATAATAAACCAATAAGTCAGAGTAGACTCACAAATTCAGCTATTCCCCTTTTTGGGCTAAAATAGAAAGTAAACCGATTAAGTCCAAACCTACTAAGGGCGAGCACAGGGCTGTTAAGGTAATGGAAACAAAACAGTAATAATTACTAAATCAAAGCGCTTTTGAGCAAACACACCAAAAGCAATACTTATGCTCCACTGAGCACACACAGCCAACAGGTTAGCTTAACCTCTACAAATGCTCCACTGAGCAAACATAGGAAGTAGGTTCTAACTAACCAATTTCCTACCTCTATTGAGCACAATCTCCAAAAGTTCCACAGAACTCAGAGTAAAACCAAACTCAATGAAATTACACTAGGTTCAAAACTAGGTGTGTCTGGATTTCATCCACTCTCAAGGTATTCCCCACTCTTTCTGCTCCCTGGTTCTTCTGGCCGCACCCTTTTAAAAGCGCAGAAGCTGATTAGGGATTGAGCGCAGCTGGAAGGCGGGAGGGAGGAGCAGGAGCGGAGGAGGGGCTGCTCCTCTCTGCAGGGAAGTGGAGCAGGAACAGGAGCATGTAGAAACTGGTGATCATAACAGGGACACACAGTGGCGCTCCTACAAAGAACTTTTTGGTGGCCTTCCTTGTATCAGGATGAAAAGAGTTATGTGTCAGGTTGTCACACATGCGCCCAGCAGAAGGGCGATCACAGATCTCCTGCAGGTCTTTTAAACCCCCTACCCACGCCCTCACGGCCATGGTCTCACATAGCGCTGGACTTTGTTTGTGGTTTGCCTGTTTCTCACGATTTTAACACAATTCTTACCATTGTTGACAGGTTTTCTAAGGCATGCCACCTAGTGCCTTTAAAAGCTCTCCCCTCTGCCGCCGTTACAGCTCAGCTGATAATTAAACATGTGTTTCGTCTCCACGGCATCCCGGAGAAGATTTTGTCTGACCGTGGTCCCCAGTTTGTGGCACGTGTCTGGGAGGACTTCGCTGAGACCCTGGGGGCCCGTGTCGCGCTCACATCTGGCCACCATCCTCAGACCAACGGCCAGTGTGAGCGCATGAATCAGGAGCTGGGAGCGATGCTTCGCTGTGTGTGCTCCGCTCATCCTGCAACATGGAGCTCTCATCTTGCCTGGGTGGAGTACGCCCATAATAGTCACACCTCCACAGCCACAGGTCAGTCCGCGTTCGAAGCAACATTAGGGTACCAGCCCTCTCTGTTTCCTCTGCAGCCTTCAGCAGCCATTACAGTGCCGCAGTTCCTCAAGGGTGCCAGACGTGCATGGGTTTCTACCCAGGCAGCTCTGGACAGGACCACCGGCAGGAGTAAACAGTTGGCTGATCGCAGGCGGTGACCGGCACCAGTGTGCTCCCCAGGTCAATGGGTTTGGCTATCATCGAAAGACATTCCGCTGAAGGCAGCCAACTGTAAGCTTACCCCTCGATTCCTTGGACCCTTCAAGATACTGGATGTACCGACACCTTCCACCGTGCGCCTGGACCACCCACGAACTTTGAAGGTACATCCAGTATTACATGTGTCTTTGGTGAAACCTCTAGGTTCCAGCCCCCTCTGCCCGGTTCCTGCACCCCCCACCCCAGGCTCTACAAGGGGGGGGCTGGTGTACAAGGTCAACAGGATTCTGGACTCTCACCCCAGTGGGAGGGGCGTACAGTATCTGGTCGATTGGGAGGTATATGGACCAGAGGAACATTCATGGGTTCCCCGCTCGTTTATTGAAGACCCTTCGCTCATCCGGGACTATGAGGCTTTGGCTAGGACGCCAGGGGGCGTCCGTTGAGGGGGGGTAGTGTCATGAGCCGGGGTGAGTACTCCTCATTCTCTTAAACATCTCTGAGTCTCTTGCCAGGAGAGGGAGTGCCACCAGCTGTTCCTGATCTGCAATCAGCGGGGTGCTTCCTACTTAAGGTGGATGGAGGACACAATTCGAGGCCGGAAGATTGCCACAACTTTGTAGTACCCAGCCACTCGTGTTTCTCTAGGATCTCTAGGATTATCTTTTCTAGAAGTGTTTTTACTCTAGGCTTTAGACTTTTTGGGATATTACTAACCTCCAGGAGCTGACTCAGGATTCTTTATCTCCTCCAGGATTCCAGTGTTTTTCCTCTGGTCACTGAGCTTTAGGATACTCACCTCAGGTCTCCAGGGTTTGGAAACTCACATCCTCCTGGACCCACTCACCGTTCTCCATAAATCTCCCCAGACATTTCGGATCAGTGTCTCCCATCCACCAGGACGCCCTGCTGTCTTCACCTGTGCTCCCTCTCCTGCGCTCTCCCCGGCTCTCGAACAGCTCCCTCCTCCAGCCAGCTACTCTCACCTTACCACGCAGAGCTCCAGTATCTGTACCAGCCACTGACACTTCAGTGCAACTTCAGTTCTTATTTAAAAAATAAAAAATAATTTATTTTTTCCCCGCATCTTTGGTCTGCGTTGTGTTCTGCATGTCTTAGGTTAGGCGCCTTCCCCCAACCATGACCTGCCCCAGAAGAAGCTCACTGCTCCATTACAGGACTCTGAGATGCGGTATGATTCTAGCAGTAGTGCGACAGAGTGAAATTTAGATTTTAACAAAAAATACAAAGTGTGTAAAAAAGCAACTTACCAATTTGTTGGGCAATCTTTACCGCATCCTCAGCAGTCTGACACAAATAGAGGATATGGTTAGTAACAAAGAACCAAAACAATGTTACACTCAAAATAGTCTTCATTGGTCCCCCAGAGGGTGATACTGGGGGCATGTGGCAGCAGTAGTTCAGGAGGTGGAGCAGGTGGCCTCAAGATCAGAGGATTGTGAGACCGAACCAAGCTACCACCAGGGGTATTCTGCCACCCAACTTGCCTGTGTTGGTGGTGGTTAGAGGGACTGATGGCGGAAATGGAAGCGCCGCCTCTGTCAGACCGCCCTAGCAGTTTTGCCTGCCATGTACACCTAGTCAGTAGCAGTCCGTATTTTTTCTTTTATCTGATGGCATCATCCAGTGGCTGACAAGCGTATCACACCATGACCTAGTTTAATTTCAACACCTCTCATTCATGAACGCGCTCCTCTAGCCGACAAACCAGAGCTAAAACATGTAGTTTTACAACCATCGTGTTATGTTGCGTTTTCATTTATTTAAATTTATAGACTTACTTGTCCATGAGAAAGGTCGCAACTCTGCATCAACTGAGGTACGTCCTTAAACGCTCAAACACGCTCTGTGATTAACGTCTGTACATAAGTGGTAGCCTAATGCTATAGGTTAGTGCTGACCGGCACTGATTTCATGTTGCATTGAGCTCTACGGGACGGGGGCGAGCTTTGCAAAAAAAAGAAAACAAAATCTAAACATCATGCATTGCCTACATCATATCACAGTTGATAAGACAACCACTTTTATGAATGTCTGAAAAATCTTATATAGTTCCTGAAAGAGGAGCAGCTTTAGGAGCAACTGCAGTCTATAATGTCCATTTTGTCCCTACTCATATTTTATGTTGACATTAGTGCTTTCCAGCTGAAGTTTTCAGTGTGCCTTATTTAATCATTTACACACAAAGAATTAGCAGTTAGCTGAGCACTGTGCATTGTTGTGTACATCAGTGATATTCGGTCTACGAGGAAATCATACAATGACAAACGTTCCGCCTTGCTTCAAATGCAAGCTGTGATTAAATTTGTGAATTTTTTGAACTAGTCTTTTTTCCCCCTAATTAATTAATCATAATTAATACATAAATACGAAAGCGGGGTGAGGGATGGGGTGATTGGCTTGGTGTTGTGTGTGCCGCCCCTGAACTAGTCTCTATGCAGCCGAATGTGAGTGGTGTGTGTGTGTGTGTGTGTGTGTGTGTGTGTGTGCGTGTGTGTGTGTGTGTCGGCCCATGTGGCCCAGTGTCAGAATGCCAGATAGGCCAGTCCACCCCTGACCACAGGTGAGTCTAATGATTCATTTAAGGGGTGTCCAGCAGACAGGTGACTATAAAAGGGCTTTACTTAACAAAGAAAATCCCTTCCCATTTCATGTTGTCAGCAATGGCTCCACATGGAAGAGAAATGTCACAAAGTCTGAGAAAGGAAATCATTTCTTTACACAAAAAGGTGAAGGCTTCAAGAAGATCAGCAAAGCTTTGCACATCAGTCAAAAAACTGTAGCAAACGTGATCCAAAAATTGAAAGAGATGGAAGTGCAACCATCTTACAGAAACGTCCAGGCTGTCCACGGAAGTTAACATCTTGACAGGAGCATCTTCTGATGAGAAGGGTTCACTGACGTGAACCTGCAGGTAGCTAAAGCAGTAGAAAGCCAAACTGGAGTGACCGTTTCCCGTGACACCGTACGGCGTACACTGCAGAGGAATGGCATGCATGGGTATCGGCCACGAAGGAAGCCTCTCCTAAAGCCTGGATGACACTGTGCGATTTGCAGCCGTCATACAGGATTGTTCCTGTCACACTGTGAGAACTTCAGAAAGGTGGCACACTGTATGGCGCAAGATTTCTGTGCGTCGGACTGTACGACATCTTGCCCCAACAGGACCTGGCATAGATTCATGAGCGCACCTCCCGAAAGCATGTCACTAAACCGGTCGCTAACCAAAACTAAACTGAAAAAAAATGAAATAAAGCACCAAAGTGAACACTTCTTCTTAGCGTCATGACCCAGCTCATCTTACCCAAAGAGGAAGGATCATTTTTAAAACCCTCCCTTTAGCATCAAACTCCAGCTGCGGGTCTCCTTTCCCCTTCTTTCAGCTAATCAGCCGAGCTGTCTGCTGGTCATTCATCCTTCTTTATACATAAAAACCCACGAAACTACAGAGAAGTAACAATCTGTCACAGATCGCTCTGATATCTGTCTCACCATTTACTCTGTAGCTCCGTGAAAGTTCATCACACTCAGTGTCACGGAGCGCAGCTTCCTCTGTCCCCCTGCAGCAAAACGCTACTGAACCATCCTTATCGGTTGAATATGTGACACTTCCACCAGCAGAGAAGGGATCTCATGTTTTTGTGTTTTATTTTTTATGTTTGTGAGCTCATCTCCTCTCAGCTCTCACAGATCACAGAATCAAGGTTTTCACAATTCAGCTGATGGTCTATAAATGTAGTTTAATTATTTTTAGTATAACCCTGGTTTAACTTGGGCTATTAACAAACATTTTTTAATTGTTTGTAGTTTATAATTAGCATTTTAAACATAAATTGAAACCGAAGCTCAGAGAGGCAGAGACTTGCTGCTGTGGCGTCTTAAAGGTGTGTTTTCATTGGTCGGTTGCAGACAGGAGTCGTAGGTTTTCAAGCATGCTTGCAGACTGTCGGAGGCTGTCTTTGGTTGTGAGACGGCTCAAAAAACTGTCGCAGAGCCAGACAGACTTAATGACTACAGATTTGCAAATCACCCTCATGTTCCCCGATTTTTACACGATTATGCTCCGACAAGGGATTTGACTAAGACGGCCACAAATTGCACACTGTGATCCGGGCTTAAAGCCCATGCACAAAAAAAGCACGCCTAGGATTTGCTAGGGCCCATGCAGAAAGAGCTGAAGACTACTGGGACTCTATACTCTGGGGTGATGAGACAAAGATCACAGATTTTGGAACTAATGGTTTCTACACTGTATTGCGTCGTATAGCTGAGGGTTTCAAAGAGAAATGCATGGTGCCTACAGTGAAACACAGTGGTGGCTGTGTCCTTATGTGAGCTGCATGAGTGCTGCTGGTGTTGGGGAGCTGCATTTCATTGATGCTATCATGAACTCAACAATTTACCGCTCAATACCAAATGAGAAGATGCTGCCATCACTCCACGCACGTGGTCATCGTGCACTTTTCCAACACGGCAATGATCCAAAACACACATCTAAAGCTACTGTTGCGTTCCTGAAGAACAGCAGGGTGAAGGTGATTGAATGGCCAAGTATGTCTCCTGATCTGAACCCAATCCAACACCGGTGGGGAATTCTGAAGCAGCAAGTTGGGCATCACTCTCCATCCAGCATCCAGGCTCTAAAAGAGGTTCTTCTTGAAGAATTGAAAGGATAGATGTTGCAATAAGTAGTCAACTTGTTAATTCCATACCTAGAAGGCTTGGTGCTGTCCTTGAAAATCACGGTGGTCATACAAAATACTAGATGTAGTAGGTTTTGTTGTGGGGTGTATTCATTTTTGCTTCAACCAATGTTAGTAAAACTGAAGATTTTATTATCTCAGTTATATTGTTAACCTTAATTTCATGTTATGGAGTTAAACAAGCCTTGTGAAATTTCTGGAAATTGTTCTTTTGTTTATTGAGCTGCTGACTAAATTTGTACTTTTTAAAGAGGATGTACTTATATATACTGAGCACTGTATATATAAAAATAAATAAATACTAGAAGCTGTAGCATCATCAGCTGGTGTCCACGGATGAACAGCTTGAGGTGTTTTTTTGTGAATATACCTTAACAACTCCATCAAATCCTGGAATAGTGTTGACCTTGGCAGCTTTAGCAATAAGCTTGCTTTCTATTTTATCCCCCATTGCCTGGATAGCATGAGTGTCGGGGCCAATGAAGGTCACACCAACTGCAGCCTGGCAGCAACACAGCAAGAAACCAACATGTTAGTGCACTGGCACCATGTGAAACTTCATGTTAGATCAGAGTTCAGATTTAAAGTTCCAGTAGAACATGAGGAGGTGCATGCAGCAACAGGTGTTTGTGTGTTTTACTCACTAAGCGCTTAGCAAAGTCCTTATTCTCAGAGAGGAACCCGTATCCAGGATGAACCTTAAACCAGAAAACATCCCAGTTTTATCATCATGAAACCTTAATAAACAAACCAAAAACTCATTGCCACTCACAGCTTGTGCTCCAGTTAGTCTGATGGCATCCATGATGGCGTCCATGTTAAGGTAGCTCTTACTGGTGGGAGCAGGGCCGACACATACTGCCTCATCCGCCATCTTTACATGAACCTTAAAGCAGCAGTATAATGATGTGAATTTACAACTGGAAACTGCTCTTAGAGCCTCTGTACAACATATGAAACTTTGTTGGGGCTCACATTTGACCCAAGAGCCCTAGTGTGTGTGTGTGTGTGTGTGTGTGTGTGTGTGTGTGTGTGTGTGTGTGTGTGTGTGTGTGTGTGTGTGTGTGTGTGGTGTGTGTGTGTGTGTGTGTGTGTGTGTGTGTGTGTGTGTGTGTGTGTGTGTGTGTGCTCCAAGGGAGCATAAAGGAGAACGCATGGGAAATTGATTATCATAAATAAATTGACAACTATAATGCAAAAAGACATGTGCAATTAGTATTTTGCCACCTATTGAACTACTCTGGAATTGATAAGGAATTGGATCGATAGATAGAATGGACAATGCTATTGATATTGATAAAAACGTATCAATTCCCACCCCTAGCGAGTGTGCATGTGTGGAGTGATGGAGGAACGAAGTTAGCATCTCCCTGTTGTGAAGCAAAAATGACCCATTGAATGCAATAATACCTAGCTGCAGACGCAGCCCCGGCCAAACACGCCCCCGGCCCCGACATTTGTCAAAAAAACTATAATACATGTAAATGTTGACATGTGAAAATATATCTGAATGGATTTTAAGGGAATTTTCTGTTACATGTTTTAACAAATTTTACATGTCTGAGCGTGACAATTTTAGGGCTACCACATTGCCGTCGTGAGTTTGCTGCTTATTAGATGAGGAGTCATAAACGGTCAAATAAATAGCCTATTGTTACGTTTACTTTGGCCAAAAGGCTTGCATGTAGCCCATTAAAAATTACATTAAAAAAAATTTGCGTCCATGACGTCTTCCCCCACTGCCAATAATGCTTAATTTTATATAAAAGTGTTTCAGAAAAAAATTACGAATGCGCTATCTATCAAACTATGTCTTAAACGTTCAAATTTCTAGTACAAAATCTTCGCAAGTTGTAAAAATATAAATGTCTTTACCTGAACCTTCATTTCCATCTGTTGCAACACGCATGCGAGTTCTCGTCTTCGTACATGCACGCGTTTTGTACATAGGGGCGTGTTTGGCCGGGGGCTTCACAGAGCTATTTCTAGCGCGTCCTCAGAACGGTGTAAAAGACGGCGTTTTTAACAGCACAAAACACCGTCTTTTACGGCGATTTGTGACTTTCCCGACGGTGTAAAAGATGGTGTTTTGCAGGCTACTCCCAAAGGTTTTCTCAGCCACTTATTTTAAACTTTGATCGCCCAATCCACGATGAGAAAATACAGACAGTACTAGTTCATCCATGGTCATCCATGCCTTTGTGTCATCACGCTTAGACTACTGTAACGCTCTTTTTACTGGTCTCAGCAAAACCTCCCTCTCACGCCTTCAAGCCATCCAAAATGCAGCAGCCAGACTCCTAACCAAATCCAGCAGAGGAGCTCACATCACTCCAGTTTTACAGTCCCTCCACTGGCTCCCGGTAGAATATAGAATACAGTTTAAAGTTTTAGTGCTGACCTATAGAGCTCTTAACAACCAGGCTCCAAGCTACCTATCTGAGCTTTTATCCCCACACACCACCTCTCGGAACCTTAGATCCACATCTGAAAACCTCCTGGCTGTTCCTCGAACCAGACTGAAAACCAAAGGGGACAAGGCCTTTCAGACTTTTGCACCCAGACTTTGGAACAGTCTACCTTCAAATCTCCGTCTCTCTAACACTGTAGAGATCTTTAAAAATCATCTCAAAACTCACCTTTTCATCCAGGCGTTCCCTCCCTAAATGTTTCAGAATGATGGCTTTGTTCGGGTTCACACCTTCACTTTGTTTATACTCATGATTTTATTTTCTACATTTATCACTGCTATTGTTTTTCTGATGTTTTTATTGGTTAGAGGTATTTGCCCTGATCTTTATCATGTTGTACAGCACTTTGTGATTTATATCTGTGAAAGGCGCTCTATAAATAAACTTCTACATACTTACTTACTATTTCCTGGTTTCCTGAAGATGCAATTTTATGCTTAAATTCACCAAAATGGCCTCATATATAGTACTGATTGTTGCATTAGCTCATGTTAAACATGATTTTATTACTGCTACTTGCACTGATATTAATAAAATGAAGACAGTGACACGATCTGTCCCTATTCAATAAACAATAATAAAACACGGACTGATGTGATCAAACTTGTATCAGTTGGATGTGTTCACCACTAGGGGGCATCCAGACGTAAGCCAAAAGCCACGGGGGGATTTTTCAGTGTGTTTTTATTTGTTAGGAATGTAAAATGGCTTTCACCATATTTAAATTTTCTGATTATATGTAAAAGTAAATAAAAAACGAATAAAATACCTCATGGAATGAACCTGTTATTTACATATCTGATATTTTCAGAAATTCAAGATAAAAGATTGTTTCATTGCACAGGTGTACAACATAGCTGTCTTTGCGCTCACTAAAGACAGCTCATAAGGATTTAGTAAAATATAAGAACAATTTAAAACGCAGACTGAGAGCCCTTGAGACAGATTCCCTGTGTTGTAACTGCCTTCTGTAATTTTGTAAATAACATGTCTGTGTAGCTAAAACAAATGTAACTGTAATTTTTTCACACACACACACACACACACACACACACACACACACACACACACACACACACACACACACACACACACAAACGAGTGTTGGTGAGCGGCTGCTTCTGACTGCTGACGCTCCGTGTGTGTTTTTATTGCTGCAGTGAGACAAACTCACCTCACACCGTCCAGAGTTTGTTCTTTAAAGCTTCTCTTAAATCCACCGTGTTGACGTCTTTTAACAAGTTTCCTCTACGCTGCAGGAATTAAAGTTTACATTACGGAGTAAAAGTTCGGCAGACGCGTTTGTTTATATCTGGGGGTGGGGACTCGGTGCTGCGCACAGGCAGCTGATGCTATCAGCTCTGAAAAGCGTTGATCATAATTTGCAGATCACGTTTATTTTTCACGGAGATCGGCCGCGGATTCCTCTTCCGGTTGGCATTCTAGGAATCGAAATAAAAATCTTTGAACGATTACGGGAAAAACTAACGGTTGGTCTCGGTTCCAATCGATGCTCGATTCCCAACCCTAGTTTTGACCCACTACAGACTAGTGAATTTCAACGCAACAGCATGACCTCTCCTGTTAATACGGCAGGTAACTAATCAACTAACGCTGCCTATCTCATTAGAGTCATTTACCTTATATATAAACCTCTGCACAAGCAGACTCCAGCGACTAAAGTCTAACCTGTGGTGAGATTTTACCCACTCTGCAAAAGCTACATCAACACTACACTAAACAAGAAGATGGCTCTGCCTTCACAGGGAGCATAAAGTAGAAGTTTTGGAAAGATCTTTCCAAACGATACAGGTACAGTTGATTATTTATCATAAATAAACCGACAGTTATATTGCAGGAGCCGTGCGCACGTAGTTTTTTTTTTTTTTTGCCAGCTCAGTGACCTAGTGGTAGAGTGTCCACTGGGAGATCAGGGTTCGATTCCTGGTCGGGTCATACCAAAGACTTTGAAAAAATGGGACCCAATGCCTCCCTGCTTGACACTCAGCATTAAGGGGTTGGATTGGAGGGTTAAACCACCAAATGGTTCCCGAGCGCGGCTGTATCTGCAGCTCACCGTTCCCCCAGGGGATGGGTCAAATGCGGAGAATAAATTTCGCACACACATCAGTGTGTGACAACTGATGGGACTTTAATTTTAACTTGACTTTAACCTATTGAACTACTCTGGAATTGATAAGGAATTGGTTGGATAGGCTGAAACGACAATGCCACTGATAGAAACTTATCAATTCTCACCCCTAGCCCTGATCCGGTACCTTTCAGTAGGGCTGCTCCGATCAGATCACGTGATCAGAAACTGGGTTTGATCACGTGATTTTCAACGGATCGGAAAGATCAGATTAAACCATTTAAACAATCCTGAGGCATTTTCAATCAGAATAACAATGGCTTAGAATTCAAAAAGTTCCTCTATATCAATATTCTTTGCTTCACAGGCAACTACATCGTAAAGACCCACAATTTAAAGTAGCACTGGAATTCAGACACCATAACATGTAGCTGCTAGCTGACAGGATAACACAGACCATATAGTGGGTACGGAAAGTATTCAGACCCCTGTCAAGTTTTCACTCTGTTATATTGCAGCCATTTGCAGAAATCAATTAAATTTGTTCTTTACGGTGTCCCGCGGTGTCAGAGCTGGGTCCACATTGCCGGCAGTAAGTTGGACTCATTCCCAGTGAGAGTTGGACTCAGTCAAGGCTGCCTTTGTCACTGATTCTGTTTATAACTTTGATGGACAGGATTTCTAGGTGCAGCCAAGGAGTTGAGGGGATCCGTTTTGGTAGCCTGAGAATCAGGTCTCTGAATTTTGCAGATGATGTGGTCCTGTTAGCTTCATCAGAACATGATCTCCAGCTTTTAATGGTGTGGTTCGCAGCCGAGTGTAAAGCAGCCGGGATGAGAATCGACTCCTCTAAATCTGAGACCATGGTCTTGAATGAGAGAAGGGTAGAATGTCTTCTCCAGGTCAGGGACGAGGTCCTACCTGAAGTGGAGGAGTTTAAGTATCTCACGGTCTTGTTCACGAAAGATTGCGTGCAAAATCAATATATAATAATCAATAGGCGACAGACCGAAAAGATCATCAACTTAGCAGCATAGACATTAGTACAGATGCCCGACCCAGCATCAAACTCAAGCCAACAGACACGCCTGCTAGCGTGGCTCTGAGCTACGATTTCTATGTCCCAGAATCTCCGCAGAAATCATCCAGGTGCTTCAAGCATCAGCTGCATATCTAAGACAAGGTGTAAGATCTAGAGTTTGTTTGCATGTTTGTTTATTTTTTTTATTGTTAATGTTTGAAATTAAATAAAGTAAATAACATAATTTGTAACAATCAACATTGTTTTCAATGGAGGTAGGATGAAGTATACACTTTTAAGGCCCTACCCCCCTTTACATATTTAATGCTTCAAAGAGTCTCAATTCATTCATTTTAACAAATGTACACTTTAAAAAAAAATAAAGAAAGAAAGAATATGGAAAGGAAAACAGAAATACAACAAAGTCACTGTTGCAACTGTGCAGTCCAACAAAACAAGGCTCTCAATTATACAGTATCAATAATTTATAAACTTTCCTAGATTTTTACCACTCTTCATTTCTATATGAATTAAAAATGTGTTCTTTGAATTTTCTTTTAAATTGGCTTATGTTCTTACTTTGGTTTATGCCATCTGTTAGACCATTCCATATTTTCATACCTGCCACTGAGATACACCAGCTTTTTAATGTTGTTCTGAAAGCATGTGTTTTAAAATTCAAATGGGCTCTTGGGTTGTACCCTCCATCCTTTACATGAAACAGTTTCATTATTTTTAGGGGAGGTTGGTTGTTTTTTGCCTTATACAGTATTTGTGCTGTTTTAAATTGAGCCAGATCTGGAAAGTTCAGTAGTCCGGTCTTATAAATAGTTCATTAGTATGATCTTTGTATCCTGCTTCATTTATTAATCTGATAGCCCGTTTTTGCATTAAATTAATTGTTTGTAAGTTACTCTTGTATGTATTTCCCCCACTTATGTACAGTAACTCATAAGAAGAGCTTTACAATTGAGAATATGTTTTGTTTTTGTTAGGATGGCAAGATTCTGAGCCAACTTCCCCTAACATATTCAATTAGTGGTTTCCAGCAGATTTTATGGTCCACAATTACCCCTAGAAATTTAAATTCAGTAACCCTTTCAATATTAACCCTATCAATAGTTATATTTACTACAATATTTTTTTTGTGTTTTCCAAATAAGATGAATTTTGTTTTATCTAGATTTAAAGATAGTTTACTTGTATCAAACCATTTTTTAAACCATGTATTTATTTTGTGATTACCCCAAGAATCAGCTGCAAATCCACACCAGTACAAACAATGTTTGTGTCGTCTGCAAATAAAGCAAATTTGAATAGCGTTGATAATTTACATATATCATTTATGTACATAATAAACATTTTTGGGCCTAGGATGGATCCTTGAGGTACCCCACAATTGATATTCATGAGTTTAAATAGAAAAACTGAGAATCTCCAGATATACTCACTGAGACTGAAACTTTCTTGTCAGCTTTTTTTAGGAACCCCATACATGTTTTAAGTATTCAGTTATATTCAGTTTGAACATTGCAGTTTTATCTTTATTGCCGAAAGGAAAAACAAATCACACTTGTCATCAAATCTAATTTATTTAGGATATTTACTATTTTGTGGTTTATTTATTAATTTTCAGAAGCATTAAACAGCAGCCTGAAACAATGGTAATAAACAAATAAACAGACTTACAGCATTGGAGTCCACATCACTGTGAACAGCTACGGTCTGGATACCCATCTTCTTGCATGTTTTAATCACCTGAAAAAAATAACCGCAATGTGATCATTCACCCAATTACAGCTGCAGTAGGATAGCACTGCTAATAAATGTAGCTGAGCAACAGAATAGATCCAATTAACTAAACCATCACCTGGCACCTGTCTGACCAGGTGAAGAATCCCATTTCCACAGTGGAAAATTTTCTCTTTGTACTTTTTAAACATCTGTCCTAAAACAGTGCCACCACGTTGTCTCATCATGGTCAGGTAACCTAATACAGCCAACAGGCTACCATCATAATCTCAGATTAGGATGAGGTTAAATCCACAGTGTTGCAGCGATTAACCGGTTTGACAATTAACCACAGTGTGAAACACTCGGGTTATTCACCATTAAGTCTTATCCAACAAAGCTGAAGATGAAAAACCGACAACAGCACACAACCCACAAGGACAAAAACAAGGACCCATGTGAATCACGCCAGAAGCAGAAGCAGCAACAACCACCGGGGCTGCTCGGTTTCCACCTAGGAAGCACTTGAAGGGAATTCTGTGAGGGAATATTTTAGATTCCCAAAGCTGCTATAGGAAAAACTCAGAACAATGGCTCGTCCATCTGCAGGGTGGGCAGAAAAAAAGTTGCGACACTCCTTGGGCTGGGTACTGTTAAATATATTTCGATACTACTAAGTTCATGATACCTGGTTTTCGATACTGGCACCATAACATACATGTTTTGATACCTGTGTATAATTCTAAGGAAAACTAACAAAGTACTAAAGGTTCTGTTTTCTTAAACCAAAAATTGTAGCAAACTTTCAATGCAAACAGTGAAAAACACAAGATTTAAATATGTGTATGGAAATAAAAAGGTAGTATTTACATTTTCATGCTAAATAAAACTTAACATGTGAAGATAAATGCAAACTATCTGGTGAGCAAATTACAAAAATATCTACTACTGAAATAAAAGTCTTTGAATCCCAAATCAATAAAGAAGAAATAAATAAACCCACTCTATGAATAAGGGATACAACAGAAATATGTACACTATATAAATATGAGTTCTTTTTCTTCAGAAAAACCAGCATGTCTGGTCTTTCTGGCAGCAGGCAGGCCCTTTCTTGGCTGATTGTGTTGCCAGCAGTAGAAAATATGCGCTCAGCTGGTGTTGAAGATGCTTGAACGCAGAGATACCTTTTAGCTAAACTGGACCCTAATGGTCAAAAATGGCAAACTAGTCTTCATATTGAGCACCACAACCATCAACAGGGTTAAGGCTCGACAACAATGAAGACTCCTGTGCAGTTTCAGCTCCACCTGAACCTATGTTGGAATACCCAGATCTTCAGTCTGACTCTATCTTAAAGGTGAAGTTAACCTAAAGGACAATGCAGTTTTGTCAAAGCATTGGGACGTCACGTGCAAAGGGTCAATGCTTTGACCCTTTGCACGTGACGTCACGCCACTCATGTGGCCGCCCCCTTCGCCATGATGGACGGCAAAAAGACCGTTTACACCCATTGAAACTCCAGTGAAGCTAGTCATAACAAGCCAGTTTGTAGCCTTTTATCGCTTTTATTTAGTAGATTTGACAGTAAAATGGTTTTAGCTTGCTGCGTGGTTGGCTGCACTAACAGACAAGGATATAAACTCAACTAGTTTTGTTTTTTTAATTACTTTGATAGAGACTGAGGATGGAGATGAACTGCCGCGTCAAGCGGACTAGCAGGCCTCAGATTTGCAGCGAACATGTTTTTACCGGGTAAGATTAACGTTCATTTATTTCACGAGGAAGACAGGGACAGGGATTAATGTGATGTGTTTATACGAGTTACTGATAATCCTGATGGATGGGTATTTCACCACAGATGATGCGTGACGTCCACTGTAGTGTAACGCGAGACAATTATTAACAATATTAAAGCTCCGATGTATGATTACGTGTTAAAATTACGTTATTTATTTATTTATATGAGCGTCGCCGTTCAGAGATCTTCTCATTCTGGTGTGAGAGCAGCAGCTGAACCCGGTAACACCACCAGCAACAGAAGCTGGTAGGGATCCGGACTTTTTAAAAATCAGCTTTGGTGTAAAATGAAACGCTGTTTATAACATAATGTTATAAATCCAGCGGGGTGAATTTAGGCAAAGTCAACAACATGTTTACATCGGTGAACAGCTGCAGGGAGAACGTAAGCTAACGTTGGTAAGCTAGTTAACATACCGCTCTATGAGCCCCCGCTAGATGCGCTACTTCTTCTGATAACTGAACTGGGCATGAACTAGACCAGTGGTTCCCAACCTTTTTCCCAAGGGACCCCTTTTTTACCAGTAAAATTTTTGACGACCCCCTCCCATTCTCTCTTCCAGTACAAATAATATTAAGAAATGATAAAATTGTTCAAGCACATTTTAATATGCTTTGATTCAATAGATAACAGTAATAGCGGGCTCCAGTACAGAACAAAGTCATTAACAAAACCAAACAAAGCATAATGTGCTTGACAGTTTGTATTACTTTTCTGAACACATTATTTCTTGTAAACACTGATAAATCAATCATTCCTTTCAATAAACATTTGACACATAAAAAATACACTGAGCAAAATGTACTTAAATGTGTATATTACTGTTTATACTAGATTATTTACGGTAAAGGCTGTGATTAATCAACCAGTCCTATCTTTAATGAACTTTTGACACTTGAAAATAAAACAGTGAGCTGAGCAAAATGTTCTTAAAAGTGTGTTACTTTTTCTGTACTAATTATTTCCTTTCTTAATATCAGTAAACTTTTCACTCATGAAAAAAAATGTGAGCAAAATGTAGACTATAAACAAGTAATAAATGAAGTTTTAACCCCTTAAAGTGGAGAGGTCCTGGAGACCCACTGAGAGGCTTTGGCGCCCCCTTGTGGGGGTCGGGACCCCCAGGTTAGGAACCACTGAACTAGATGAAGGAATGCTGGAGGAGTTTTGTTTTTGTTTTGATCGCAAAAACAATTTCAGGCTCTATTTTCCCCTTTGTTTAGTACTCCTGTCGCTCACTGTTTACACGCTTTTTCCATCCAGCATGGTGGACCCACGTGATTAGGTGACGTCTGTGCAAAGGGTCAATACATGAACAAGAGAGCCATGTTTCCAAAGCTGCACAGGGTGGTACAGAGGATGCTGACTCTGTTGGGCTCCACCTACATGTGAGTGCAGACGTCAAGCGTCATGAACATCAACAATGCCTGTCTAACTTACCCTGCAAGCGATTTCTCCTCTGTTGGCAATCAGGATCTTATCAAAGGTCTGTGAAGAAGAGAACAACTCATCAGTTAACAACAGGCTGGTTAGCAGAGCTCATACAAAACACAGTGACTCTTAACTCAGACATGAATATGTTGAGGCCTCATTACGCACTGCATAATCACAACATTATGAAGTTGCTGTGGTCCTTGGAGCAAGAAAAAATAAGCGATGAGCAAACATTAGAACTAAGAAATTAACACAGTGCAGTTATAATAATATAGGGAGACAATAATTAGAGAAGCAGCCACTTTATACGAGTCGGTGTAGGTACTGGTCAGAGCGGGTCAGTTCAGGTGCCGACAACACAGGGTCATGTGACCAGAACAAAGCAGCTGGAGCGGGCAGGTCTACGATTGTCCTTCATGAGTCCGACCGCAGAGGAGAAGAAACGGTTTTGTGGCGAGAGGTTCTGGTTCGAGTGCACTGGAGCCTCTTGACAATCTCTTGCTGTTTTTGTCCCTAGCAAGCCTCGTCACGGGTGCTGTGCACTCAGGCTGTGTCCAGAGCAGAACCTGCTTCAACCTAAAAACAGAGGTGAGCTGATGGTCCCCTCAGAAGGAACGGTGAAGGTGGGCAAAGCAGCACAAACAACAGAAGATGTCAGTGTGTCCTTTAAGCTCCGTAGCTGCAGTGTGTGTGTGTGCGGTGCGTGTGTGCGTGTGAGTGTGTGTGTGTGTGTGCATGCGTGCATGGTTACACTCACACCAGTCAAAAAAGTCCATGACGACGGACCTGTACTCCAGGTCCTTTTCCCCGTCACACAGCCGACAACGACAGTGTTTCCTCTACAGACGCCGCGCCACAGCTATGAAATCTTGAAATCAAGTGTTTCAGCCCCCCCGTCCTATATGTTTTAGGTGTTTCCCTGCTGCCACACACCTGATCTAAATGAATGAGTGATTAGCAGGTTTCTACAGCACTTGATGTCACCATGAGAAGGCAATGCAGATATGTAAGTCAAGTGGGCTGAAGTAGAGACATGAAAAACATGCAGGATGGGGGGGGGGGGGGCCTTGATAAATTTATTAGCATATCCCATTTGAGTAGGAATGGGCCATGTGGCCTATAATCTATATCACCATTCTATTTGTTTACGTCAAAATGACTGGTTTGATATTCTCACGCCAGAAGAATTTCAGCAGAACAAATATTTCTAAAAATTATTGAAGAACATTTAACGTTCAAAACTAAAACAATCCTTTTAAGTAGTTTTTATGTTCAAAGTCAAAGTCGTTTTTATTGTCATTTCTACCACATGTGCAGGACATACAGAGAAACAAAATTGATTTTCAGTGCACACAATTCAGAGATCAGACATACGTGGGTAAGACACATGACAAGAATTTGTGACTGCGGTCATTCGCAACATGAATCGCGCTACCTTATGTTGTTCTGATTCATTCTCCAAACAATGCAACACAAAAATCCTCATGAAAGATGAAGATATTTACATAAAATTCAAGCTAAATGTGATGAAAACACAAAATTATAGTTTGAAATAAAGTGAAAAATGTAAAAACAGAAATAACATTTCTTCCTTTCCTGATTCCTTTTCATGTTTTTCATTTTCTCATGAATGTTAAGTGTTGTTTTCAAAAAGGTTTGATCGCAAAAATAAATAATATACTTCCATTAAGTTGTCAATCAAACACGAAGATCAAAAACTCATGGGAGATCGAGTTGGGATTCGTATTTCCAATGATCTGTGGTAAGAGGCTATAAATAGGGTACAATCCACTACTTCCTGTGCTCGTTGGGGGGGGATTGAGGTATTCGTTCAGACTAGGTTCCAACGGTCATTTCCATTTCATTTTTTTCTGTCTTTTTTATTTGATTACTTGAAAAACGTGAATATATACAACTATGTACAAATATAAACACTCGTTTTGGTTATTCATCTTCGTATGTGTATACTCACTGAAAATGTCAATGACATTCTGTATTGTATTGTCTTTGACTGTGATGATAATAAAAATATATTTAAAAATTTGTTTTTAAAAGTTAAGTGTTGCTTCAGTATGGATATTTTACTGTTAGGCACTGGCAGGTAAAATGGTGCATTACTGCGTTATTTTTTTTGTCAACATAAAAAAATAAGTTTGAGGTTTATTCTTTCTCTCTGCCTTTGGTTGAGCGACACTCCGGTCATCGGGTCTGGGGTTATTGGAGGTCAGACCTGCGGTGCGTACCGGCCGCGCAGGTGAGAGACGGGGAGAGAGGAGCTGCACAATGTCAAGCTTTATTAATGGGAAAAACAGCGGCAGGTGGAAATTTGTTCAGACTAAATCATTGAAGATGTCTGAAATTTAGGAAGTCTGTGTTTCAAAGAGCAGTTTTAAGGTAATTAGTGTTAACGATCAATTAATGCAGATACATCTTTAGTGTCAGCAGAATTGTTTACTATTTTTCTTTTCAACATCACACTACCGAAACCAAAATTAGGGCAAGAGCATCTTAATCCACGCGCTCTGCGCTGCAGCCTCTGGTCCAAAACTGACTCAGTTTGAAAAAGTTCGTGCACAGCCGCGGTTGGCCTGAATAGAACATTGATAATATGATATCAACCATATATTAATGACTTGTGTATTAATTTATTTGCATGTTTATGTAGCATAACACATCCCAGCTAATGTTGCTTTTTTATTTATTTTTGGACCATGACACAGCAAATGCTGTCATCATCTGGGTCATTAATATTAATTTAATATTTAAAAAACAGGTTAAACTCATTAGCCTTGTTCAGGGCCCCTTCAGCAGACCCACTGGCTCCTCCCACAGTGACCTGTGATGTTCCTGAGGCCTCTCCATGCTCCACAAGCATTGTTCTGCCCCAGCTGTGTCTCCAGCTTCTCCCTGTAGATGTCTTTAGCATGTCTGATCTTATATTTGAGCTCCTTCTGGACCCGTCTCTGTTGCTCTTTGTCTCCAGCCATAAAAGCTATTTTCTTATCGTTCAGCAGGGATTTCAGCGCAGGGGTCAACCAGAGTTTATTATTCAAGAAACACCTCACTTTTCACGTTGGGACGATGTTCTCTACAAAAAGTTTAAATAATTAGGGACACAGTGGGTCAGGCTGACATGGTCATCACCATTTTTTCTCTTCTGGCACTCGAGGAGTACAGACACTTCCCTCTTTCTCTCCCTTATCTTTTTTCCCCAAGGCTCTTTGTCCTGTCTGCCCACAGAGCGCTTCTCTGCATTTCTTCTGAAAAACTATTTTTTAATAACCATGGATTTGATAAACTGGTCATTCAATGTGATCGATAAGATAAGATTTTCCGACAGTGCGAGCTATTTCTCTCCAACATCGAGATATCGGCCATGAAATCGGCCCAAAAACTTGGCAGCACTTATCGGCCATCGGCTGACCACGACCACCTCGTATCGGTATCGACGATAGAAAAATCAATATCGGTCGACTTCTAGCTACCAATTAATTTTTGTATGTACTCATACTAAACCAAACAAATTATATCAACTCCTGATTATATTTGACCCTCCACAGGATTTCTCTCTCCCTCCCTCTCACACGCACACACGCATGCAGTTATTTAAAATATTTTAATATACTATTATTAATTAATATAGTATTAAAAGTATAGTGTGATGCTTTTTGATCATCAAATAAATCAGTGTTATCTAGGATTACATTATACAGGTATTTGTACATGTTGATGTCTTTAGACCAGATGTTTTCTGTGATATTGTGCACATGGAATGGGACTAATATTAATATAATAATATCTTTAGAGAGAAGTGTGAAGATTGCCAGAAAGAGAGAAATGGCTAATGCCCAGGCCGAGCTTAACTGCCCCCCCTCCTCCTCCCCACCGCCTCATAACTGAAACTCCAACAAGATGAGGCTCTCGTCAACAGATGATTCAGAGGCTGCTTGAACAAGAGAAGGCCATATTGCAGGTCCTGAAGTGGAAGTCCAAAGAGAACCTAAGAGGAGTAAACGAACTCTGGGCAGTTTTTTTCAAAAAGGCAACTGCTCAGCCTGGCCCAGCTGCCCTCACTAACAGAGAATCAATTGAAATTGAGCAAAGAATTACCTGCAAACAATGAAGGAGAAGTTGGCCCACTGGAGTGGTGGCAGCTGCACCAGGCCGATTTTCCCAGGGTGGAAAGCCTAGCCATGAAACACCCTTGTATTCGTGCTACAAGCGTCCCCTCAGAATGAGCATTCAGCACCAGAGGCAACATAGTAACATGCCACTGATCTGCACTGAAGCCCGAGACCGTGGACAAACTGGTGTTCCTGGCGAACGACCTCTGATGAAGGAAAGTTTAATTACTGCACACAAGGGGCATAAACACTTATGTGTTTGTGTGTTTATTCTGCTGCGATGTATCTGATATGAGAGTATGTTCAGAAACTGTCGTTTTTTTTTTACACCTATACAAAAGAAAGTCATATATCGCAATTTATATCATTACCGCACGTTTCAAATATCGCAATAGGCAATATCACCCACCCCTATTGCAGCCACTTTGTTTCCTCCTTAAGTCAGGAGGCAGAACCGGCTTTTCTATGGAGGAGAGAGACCTCTCTGCAGCGCCGACGGCTGATCCCTGGTGTAGGCAACAGTTCCATGTACGGAGCTAGAGGAATGTCCCAGTGCGTTCCCAAAAAGTTTTAAAGCCAGGCAAAAATGAACACAAACAGCACAAAAGTTCTCCTGTGGATCATGCGGTTTACAGAACATATGCCCACATTAAGGGCTTTAAACATGCCACACAAGACAAGCAAAGAGTAAAAAGAGGAGTAAAGAAGCAAGAGCAATGGTAGCTGGCTGCTGCTGATGCTGCACCATGATGAGTAAATGATGAATGTATTTACAGTTAAACAGTCAGAACCTGACAGAAAATCAACCAGCAGAGAGCAGGTGATGGCTGTAGTTACCTTTTCACTGGGGACAGTGGAGTAGGGAGTTCTGCTGGTCACTGCACAGGACCGGCATGAGGAATACTACAAAACACACACACACACACACACACACACACACACACACACACACACACACACACACACACACACACACACACACACACACACACACACACACACACACATGCCTCTCTTGAAAGTGTTGAACTTTACATTTCTAAAGTTAAAAATAAAATTGAGATGAAAATATTTTGACAAGATGAAAATACAAAAACATCCTAAACTAATAACAAAATCCTACAAACTCATAACATTCTGGAGGTGATAACTTCCCTCTAAGCGGTCATAATGTTCTGGCTGAATAATGTGGCGCTTCGAACAGTCGTTACCAGCTGACCCTCCGCGGCTTCAGTAGTCTCTCGTCTTAAATCAACATGAATGTTTCTGGTACATCTTCTGTTATTTAGAGAGACGCGAGATTAACAGGAAAACTGACCTTTACGACCAAAACCAGCCTGTTCACTGGCACACAAGCTCTGAGGGACGCCATGTTGCTTAACTTCTTTGACGTACAGACGACGTAGACGCCTGTTGGGCGCTAGAGAGCGTAACGTAACAGCGTCGTCAGTCGGTCAGGTGACGTTTCGGGTCACGGGTTCTCAGAACAGTAGAAGTTACGACAGGCTTTGAACGCGCCGTCTCGCGGTCACGTGGTTAACGGAGCTCTCAATAGTTCCAAACATAGGTATATGTAAACACATCACATGTTTATATATACATATCTATGGTTCCAAACATCCCAGCGCGTGTCAGTTTGAATGGTGTATGGTGGGACAAATCACAAAAATTGAATATTGTCACATTTCCCCTGGCGAATTGTGGTAATTATTGAATAATATTATATATTGTGTCCTAATTCTTTCACAAAGTAGCCTGTTTATTTATTTCCGAGCATTTGTAGGAAGACAGACACCTGTGACTGTTCTACATTACAGGAATACGACAGTCCAAACACATTGTAGAATACATTTAGACCACATACATTACTATAATATATTAGAGCAATAAATTTGACGTAGTAATGCAACACACTGCTCTAATATAAGCACATTTAATAACTTTAAGTCCTGAAGCCCTAAACTAGAGTTGAAATATCCATTTTAAAGTGGCTTATTGAAAGCTAGAATTCTGCGCCAGCTTACCTTGAAGAAAATACGTAGCTGTTTATGCTTTGAATGGTGATCTATTATGTTCAGTAGAATACATTTTACAATCATTATTTATATGTTTATGTGAAGACAGTACATGCATCTATAACCCAGTGTCATGTTCCTGGGCAGAGGTGAGTCACACCTTCTCCTCTCACCAGACTCTAACTTAATTCTCCACAGGTGAGGAGCAGGGGGAGCGGCAGCTGCAGGAGATTTCCCAATCAGGGACGCGGGTTCAAAAGGAGGATGGAGACACATCACTTTGCCGGATGATTGCACCAGTTTAGGTAGCACCAGCCACTCGACTCTGAACTTTGATCTTGTTAATGCGTGTTTTGACTCGCCTTCGACTAGTGGATTTATGACCTTGGATTGTATTTTGGATTTGGAATTGGATTATCCCTTACGCCTGTTTTTGTCTCGCTCAGGATCATCTCATCATCTACTCACCCTCGCTGTCTTCGTTTTCTGGAACATACTCATCACGTCCCATCCTCCTCCGCCGTTCCTGTTTGGCTTTCCCTCTGCTACCTCACCCTCCTGGATCTCTCATCCTCTGCCCAGCGTCCTCCCCGGCTTCCCCTCCTCTCCTGATTAACCTGAGCACCTCAGAGACTCGAGCCGCATTGCTCATCCCACAGGACTTCCCTGTGCTGTTTCAGTTCCCGTTTTTATAATGAAGACATTTTACTTTACTGCTTTGGACTACGTGTGCTGATTCTGCATGTCTTGGGTTAGACACTTACCTCGAGCCATGACACCCAGTTTATCTGGCTTCTATAGCCTGACTAATGGCAACTAACTAAAAAGAAAATTTCAATGAAACTGTATGGTCAAACACAGTAGATACACAGTACCAGCTCAGTGGCCTGGTGGTAGAGTGTCCGCCCTGAGACTGGGAGATCATGGTTTGATTCCTGGTCGGATCATACCAAAGACTTTGAAAAAATGGGACCCAATGCCTCCCTGCTTGACACTCAGCGTTAAGGGGTTGGATTGGGGGGTTAAACCACCAAATGGTTCCCGAGCGCGGCTTGTCTGCAGTTCACTGCTCCCCCAGGGGATGGGTCAAATGCGGAGAATAAATTTCGCACACACATCAGTGTGTGTGACAACTAATGGGACTTTAACTTTAGATAAAAACCACTGTATGTTGATCCACTGACCAGTGACCACACATATTGCACTCAAGTAAACTGTGGTACGAATCTTTTGAAATATTAGACATTTGTATTTATTTTGTTTAAAAATTATTCTTTATTCTAACAGTGCCATTATAATTTCAGAGAATGAGGAAAGCAGCAGCGGTGAGGCAAATGAGATGAGGGAAAGTGCGGGGGGACATGAGATGGTATCAGGAGAGAGGAACATCCCAGGAAGCCATGAGGAGCCGGCGTCAGGGCCAGGAGGAGAAAGGAACAGGCTATGCAACCAGGGAACCCAGCTGGAAAACCTAAGGGAGGAAATAGAAAGTCAAAAGGAGCACATTAGAAGATTGGAAGGAGCACTTAAAACACAGACAAAAATTTATTCAGTCCAGCAAAAGAAAGTTTTGAACATGGAAAAAAATAGGCCATATTTTTTACTAAAGACCAATTGAAGGCAATTGGCATGAAAAACAGAAGAGGCATTAAATGGAGTAAATAGACAATCAAAAAGGCCGTACAACTCCGTTCTTCAGTGGGTTCAACAGGATACAGGTTTCTTCAGGACACGAGTATCCCTCTGCCTGATGTTAGAACCCTGCAAAGACAAATGCAGCCCATTAAGCTGGAACCAGGTGTGATAGGAGAGGTTTCTGACATGCTCAGTTTGAAGGTTAAAAATCTGACAGAGATGGAAAGAGAGTGTGTGCTTACTGTGGATGAGATGCAATCACTCCAGGCGTGCATCACTCCATCACAGACCCAACTGGGATTTGCCACCACCGTTGTTTCTGCTCAGCTCTCCGCTCAGCCACAATGAAAACATGAAGATGGACACACAACACAGTTTAACCTTTATTGGTTAAATGAGATCTTTGTTTTAGTTACTCTTTGACATTTATTTATTGATAGTTATGTTATTTCTTGTCATTCCTTACTCATAACAAAATTGCAAATGCTAATTAATATTAGTATTTGCAATTTTGTTTGCTTTATAATTAAAGCAAGTGGAAATGAGCAGTTTTATGGAAAATGTCACATTTTTAAAAGTTATTGTGTTCAACTACTGTTCTTGAAATATCGTTATTCTGTTCTTATTACTTGAGTCCACAAAATAAAACTACATATCTTCTTACGTTCGTAGCCCTGTTTGTCTCATGCTTCAGCAGCTCGCTGCAGTCAGTGTTATTACCTGAAAAATATTAAATCATTACTTGTGTAGAGGGTACATGTTGTTGCTTTTAAGCTTAATATAGTACCTTTACTTATGACCAATAAGCTGTGATATATAAATATAGAATATCAACCTGCTTGGTCTTTGGATGTTTAATCAGAAGATTCTAGGATTCTTTGCTTTTTCAGGGATCAAACACACTTCGTCTCAATTCAGACAGAGTCAGGTTTATAAAAGATAAGAAATTTATTTTCTAAACAAATAAAAACATGACAAATTAACCAAGGCTACTGTGATGGATGAATCTGAGAGGATGGGATGTGATGTATGGTGATTTATGGTGTGTGTTTATCAGAACCTTGTATCTAGAAAAACTGAGTTCCAGGTGTGAAAAGGAATTTGGTTTGCATTAAACTATGAAGTTGATTCTTATCAAAATGGCATCAGACGCAGTTATACTGTATTTTACCTCACCCTTTTTGGAGACCCTCTTCGTGGATCAGGAGGTCAGGAGGGTTGGATGACCTCTGGGCACCCAGGTCCAGTAGATTGACCGCAGTACAGACTTCCCCAGTCCAAAGATGTCGCCAGGCACACAGGTTGGAACTACAGTCGTTTGCGTCTAGAAGGACTCTTAAGGAGTTGGAACTGTATCAGCTTGTTCTGCAGGAACCATTTGCTGTGTCGGCTTCAGCGTGTAGCAGGGTTTTTGACAGCTTGTCAAAAATGCTCTGGGTTAAAGAGGGTTCACTCCAGATGACCTGTCCGTAGCTTTCTCTAGAACTGACTCACCGTCAAGTGAGCTCTGTTTTAATATTCTCATATTATGATTTCTTGGTCAACCGGGATGTGCCATGTTAAGGGGTGTTAACAAGCAAACCTCAGAGCATCACGCCTTCTTTCAGATACAGGATGCTCTGATTTGTGGCTAAGAAAATATCTGTGTCATGACATTTAACTTAACTTTAATTTATCTCTACTGAACCTTGTGTCTGAGTGTAGAATGATTCACTTGTCATATCAAACAGTACTGATCATTATATATATAAATCTTTCAATGTAATAACAATATTCATTTCAAACTTCAGCAATTCAAGCACAGATTAATCAACCTTATTAATTTAAGCACAGATTAATCAAGACATTATTATTATTCATCAACCATTATGGTTCATTTCATTTCACGATTGATTAACTCATATGAGCTGAAAATAGTCACTTTATTCAGGGAGTGAGCAATCCTGCGGTGTTATCAAAAGAAGACTTTGTTTGGGAACACAGCCTGACATCTTGTTCCTCCTGAAATGTCAACAAGGCTGCAGTATCCTTCTGGGTTTGTTGGAAGCTAGGATGTAAAATCCACTTTAGAGAATGGAATTTATGTCTGCAGATGACCGGTGGCATGTAGATCAATCTGTAGGTGAAAACTGACCATTGCTGGATGTTACACTTGTCTTCACAATCATATTTTTCTTTATTATTGATCTCTCCATTTTTGCTTCCATTTCGGATGCATGTTCGTGTTGATACAGCAACCAACAACATTTTGTACAAAAAAATCCCAAATAAAACTAATAATGTAAAAAGTTTATAACCTATTGAAACTGTAGGGAATATTTTTAAAACGTGGAATCAAACAAACTGAAATAAACCCGTCTACAGCTCGTCAAGATTGTCTAAACCCTCCTGCTCACGATCAACAAGCTGTACACAATTAGCTCATTAAAGGTTATCTAGCTAAAACTGGCAACATAAAATACCATCGTTGGTTTATTTTGGTACGAAGCGGTTAGCTAACGCTTCACAATGCAAAAAATGATGACATTTAATCAACTTACCGGAGAAAATCCTTCCAAAACACCGAAAATGAACTGCAGTCTATGCAGCAGCGGGGGTTGTTTGGAACTGTAATTAAACCTTTCTTTACCAGTGGTGTTTGTGACTGAGAGAAGAACCTCAATAAGCGTGGAGGAGACCAGCTGTACAAGAAATAACAAACTTTATTAAATACCAGTAAAATGCAGCACGCAGCACACCAAGGTCATAACAAGCCCGTTCCAGGTTGTATTCCCCCACAACCCCT